GTAAAATGTAGTCAAAAGATTGAAGTATGCACAAATTGAACGACTAACGCTGGAAAAGCTTAATATAAAAAATAAGCTTGTGAAGCAATGAGAAAACCACAGAATTTCTCGTTAACTTTCAAATTTCATTACATGAACACATTAAACATACGACAGTAAAAGATTGAACCATAATTGGAAAGAAAGTGTTATATTGCGAAACGAATTGACATTTTTGCAAGATGATATTATATGCAAACAAGTTGTAGCGTATTTTGCGACGGTCGAACAACCCGGCTACATCCCAAAGTAAATTAAAATGGCCAATATTTCGATATATCAATTGTCTGACAAACGTGACACACGGGCGGAAAAGGGCAGGAGGGGGGTGAGTCACACGAAAAGCGTTCGAGTCCGTCGACACTCAATAGTGGTGGTAGCACGACGACTGAGGGTCGGTGCGGTAAGGGGACCGCATACTTGTGTCTCTCTATATCCGCCCTGGAGGCCGTGTGTCCGAGTGAGATAGCCAATTTGATGCGCTATCCGTCTCATAGAACAGAACAGACTTATGCGTCCAGGTTTCGGGCCCTGACCAGATACCGCTTTCGCGTTGGCGTGGCCGGCACGGCTCGACCGCCGACTAGGGGCTTGAGGGGCGTGGCGTTCTCGTTTGCTCCTACGGCGATGAAGACTCTTTCTAATCCAGGCTACGGCTTCGTTCCTTCCGGAACGGCGTTGTCCGTTTCTCTCTTGGGGTCTTATGTCTCCCGACGGCGTTCTCCCTTGCAGTCGCTCACCCTCGGGCCTTATCGCTCCACAATAATACTTAAATAATTCTCATAAATTGTTTTTGTTCATAAATATTTATTTTCTTTAGGAAATATATTCTGCCCCTCAAGAGATTCAAATTCCGCGCTGCTCCCGCCGCTAGTACGCTGCGCGACCGGAGAGGGCAGTGTGGACAGTAGGAAACCATCGACGGTGTCCTGTGTATATATTACATCTATTTAATATAAAAAATACACGTACATAATGGATATTTCCTGGATAATCGTTGATACCTAGGTTTGATATATGCATATATATGGTTGGTCTGTATCCGCGTATACTGTTCATAATCAATATATATATATATATATACATATTACGTTTATTTGACATCGAAAAGATATTTACATAATTGACGTTCCCTAGATAGACGCAATTATGAAGGATTTACCCCCCGAGAGGTCAAGAGAGGTCAGAAGGGAGAGAGTGTGCGAACGATACGTATATTCACTATCTATGATTTATATATTAGGTCATTAATACGTTCACGAAAAATTTGTAACGAGGACTGGAAAGAGTTGTATATGCATGCCGAATTATACGTTTGTTTACTGTACGTAAATAATAGGTAAATCATATATGAGACGTAATACGATATCTATTATATATTATAAATTTTGTGATGTGGCAGAATTCTGCCGTCAGAATTAAGAGCGCGGCAAGTGCGGTAAGTACCAAATATTAGATACAATTAATTTCAATCACAACGGCGGCTCTCGGGGTCATTCTGGGCGATCAGTAATTACAAGTATGTGTTGTAAAAAATTCGTTACTTTAAGAATCGTTAGCTAGTAAGTATCGGGTATGGCCGAATATTACAGGTCATTATCACCGTCGGTGCGAGTCGATGAGGATAATTCGAGCATTCAATAACCGCGTCGCAATACTCTTTCTGACACCTAGCGTAATCGCTATCAATTGCCGGCGCGAGACGAGTTCGGCAGCGGTGAACGGAATCGGTGGTGGGGGACTTCCGAAATCCGGAGGTCCTGAAGATCCGCGGACCTCATTGCCCATGATACACTGAGAGCCGCCAGAGGTGCCGGGAGCCCTTCTCTGCCGTCGCCGTCTTTCGTGATTCCGCTGCGATCGGGACTACCGCCTTTGAAGTATCGCTTTTAAAGCATCGGTAAGCGAACCCGCCTGAGGGATAAAATCTAAATGCACTTCCGTCCCATTTGTAGTGAATATGTTCATCTACTCCTCGACACGCGACCCACCGCCACCAGTTTCTGTGTCGCGGGTAACGAAGAAGCTAAGAGGATTCCACGTACCGATTTCCGCTACGACCGTTTTAGCCCGGTAGACCCGGGACTATTTTCCGCGCGTAATTAAATTTTTTTGTATGTTCGTTTTTTGTGTGAATCGGTCCCACCTGTCGCGGGAGCTCGGGCGAAGGTAGAATTGGTCTGTGGGCCCTTTGGTTCTCCCGGGGCGTCGGGAGAAGTGTCGAGGGGAGCCGCCCGCTTCTCTTTATTATTCGGAACGGAAATAGTAAGCTGTGTGGGTCCCAAAGTATTCGTGTAACGTGTCTAACAGAATTGAACGAAAGTTCCCGCAGAAACGGGTGGTCAAAGAAGATTTGCGTCTATCAAATCCCAATCCGGCTTCCATTTCGAGTTCATTCGCCGCTTCGCTCCTTTCCGGAACCTCCCATCTCTGTCATGCTGCGAGGGCCCTGATCGGTTCTCGTGGGTCTGAGTGGCCGGAGGCCGAACCCTCTCGCGTTTATCGGGTGCCGGGCCGAAGGCCGTAGCCGGAAGAGGTCGCGACTCGTAGTATGCCGAGGCATACCTGGCGCCTTAAAGAAATTCAAGCGAGCCGTTAAGGGCCTCCGAAATCCATCGCCCGGCCGAACTCGGAATTATTGCGGGAGAAATTTGCGGAGCATCTAATTTGAAGGGTGTGGGTGCGAGACCCATCATTTCCGTCGCGATTTATATATTTCACGTATAACATCATGCAAATCATATTCTTATTATATACACGTATTAGCTATTTATAGATATCTTATAGATCCCTATCAATAGGCATATACCGAACCTAGTTGTCTGTGATTATCTATTATGTATATACTTTTTAGGTGTTTAATAGACGTAATATAAATATATATCTTTTATATATGAACAGTATATGGGGATATATCTCAACCATAGATATTTGTGTATCAGACCCCGATGTCTGCGATTATCTGGAGAATATCTAATAAGAGCGTATAGGTGATATAGATTTGTATATATAACTAGATATCCATCTCCAGTATAGCTAGTGTATATGAATAATATAGATATCCTATACATGTATGGATATTCCATATACTCTTCAGTGCAAGAAGATTTTGATGAGTTGCACGAGAATGTTGGAGGTAAGTCTCTTTTTGCTGTAAACTAATCATTATCGTCGTTAGCACATTTTTCATCCACTACCTGTTTATTTTTAGTTTCAATATTACATTTTTTGACCTCAAAAACCGCTGTCTACTGTTGTTCCTCTTGTCGGTTGCCACCAGTAGTTTCGGCAGGGTCCGGTATATGGCACACGTCGCTCGTACGGCTTTCCCACAAGTATAATAGTTCGTTTGTATATAAGACTCAATACCGTTCTTGATGTTTCAGTCTTAATGTCGTTCTGCTTTACTGTTTCAGATGCCGATACTCCAGCTCGGTCCTACACCCTTTTACGGTCTGGTACAATTACATTCTATTTTCCCTAGTCAGAACAATTCTCTATCTAATGGCTCTAGACGGTATTTCCAATGTCTCCGATCTAGTTTCTCCTGACACCTAGAGTAAGAGTTCCTTGTCTAATTTATATTTGATTAAAGAGCTGTCCAATCACCCGTTCTCTTCCGCTACGTTCCTACGGGGAGTACGATTGAAATTTAATTTCTGGAATTTGATCTAAGTCCCTTGCGCGGACTATCTCCTTTAAAATTGCGAGTCTCCAAAATTTATAGTTCTCTATGTGTCCCGTTTAGCCGAAGTTTCTCGCGCAATTCACAGTAAAGGTAAAGTCACAGAGGATGCGACAAGTGTTCTTCCTTTACCATTAAATGCGCCCGGCGCCGGTAAGTGTAGGTAAGCCGCCACTGTTAATTGCCATGTGGTATTACCATGTAACGATAGAACTCGAGGGCGCGAGTTAGGTGGCTACCTCGCGCGCCGCGGTCCACGTTCGGGTCTCTTCCCGCGACAGTGGCCCGCTCGGAGCGTTTGAGTATTCGAGGGGTAATGCCTGGGTGGAGTAAGATATTCTCAGGTTTTGGTAACAATAATAAAGTTTATTGGTCGTACATCGGTTGCCGGTCGGCGTCAGTTGCTTCAGGTCTCAAGGTAAAACATTGGGAGCAGACCGATTACAAACGGGACCGTACTTAATGCTAATTGTTTACAATATGAATTATATGTTAGTTGTGGTAATGATTCTAACCCTATTGTTCGAACTCCCAGGTCGGAGAGGTGACATGATATACAAGTTCGGTTCGTGTCGCCTCTTGTCGGAATTATCTTCGGAGATGCGAATTCGCGCCTATAGTGATTCGAGGTCTCGTCCTGCGAATCGGGTTTGGGAGTGTAGGCGGGTTTCTTCCCTTCCTACGACTTTCACTTGCTCAATTTGCCCGGGCCTCTTATAGTGCCCGGGAGGCTTGCGCGCTTGCGAGAGAGCGCGGGCCGTGGGTCGTCGCGCTTGCGGGAAACGGTCGCCGGGCTGCGGGGCCGGCCGCAGTGCTGTACATACATACGAGTCGTGTGGCTCGGCCTCGGTCCGAGGCACACGGCTCGTTACAACCATCACGAGTACATGAGCCGCCAGCTGCGACTGTTAGATGGCACCACCATCGAGAATGCGCGAGTCCCCCACCAGAAATGAGTGCGTAGCCGCTGAGGGGTAACAGTTCGTAAGTACGTTAGCCGCCCACATCTACCACCGAATGGCAGCACAGGACTGATCGCGCGACCTGTTCGTGAGCAATCTCCCAACTCATCTCTGCTTACGTTCATGGTGAAAACAGAACTCTGCTCCAATGAGGAGTTCTGTATTCTTTACTTTGAGCAATCTATATAATTATATGGTTTCCGATATATACGTCAAAAACCTCAAAAATCGCGAAGTTCTTCGACCCTGAGAACAGCAGCTGAAGATTGAATTCAACTTATGAAAAATAGTATTTATTCTACCCACGTTTAAAGATGTATGCCATCGAAGATGGTAAGTTATGATTTCATTAATCGCATTTAACAATAAACGTACCACCGGCCGATCAAATAACTGTTTTTAAATGCCATTGGTAATAGGGTTTAAAATTGTCGGCACGTTTAATGTTAGTATCTATCTGCCAAATGACTTTTAGTAACTATGTAACCTTACTTGTTTGTTGAATTTATTAGTATCGAAATATTTCATTTTACTATGAGTAGTGAATAAATTATAAGACAATTCAGATATGCATTACCTGTAAAATAATGCAATCATTGAGTATTAATTTGTTTGATATACTAATTTAATGATTAAATTTAACTTTTCTGTTTGAAGACAGTTAAAGACATATGAAGATAAAGCATATCGATTTAAATTTCTGGAATTGTCAAAAAAGAAAATTTGCATCGATGATGAAGTAATGATGAAATTAACCATAGAATTATTTGTTAATTACAGACATAAACTTTAAAGTACTATTTCAAACAAATTGCATGGCTGTTACAAATGATCTCCTATTTAATTATCAACCTTTTGGCTAGAAGGTTACATCATAAACGGATTCTTATGTGGCAAGATAATTTGTTATGCCTAGTTAAAAAGTTAAAGGAAAACTTGAATAACGCAATTTCATTAATTTTTAAATATTGAAACAAAAAAATGTTATCGTTGATCATGCTTCATAATAAGAAGCATATTCATTTATTTTTTAATTTATTTAGGTTAACATATCCAATAAATATGCTACATATTAAAATGTAATCCTTTGCACTTTATGCTTTGACTATTTCTGTTGCCAGTGGTAACTGAGAATTGCCTCTTAAGTGCAAAGCGTTAATAATTAAAATAAATAAAATTAGTATTAAAGTTATGAATATGATTGTATGCTGATTGTTCAGAGAAATTGTAACCATTTCAATGTCTTTAAAGTTCATCCGTTGTAGGAGTTAACATGTTTAATAACCAACTGTCTAGGCAATATTTCGAAATACTAAATATAATAATAATATTAAGACTAAAACGTTTCATTTTTATGTTTGCCATTTGAAGTACATATTTTCTTGGTCTTTTATTTCTTTATTTATAATGTGGTACTAGATGCTTCTATGATTAATAACTATCTTCTTCAGATCAATATGATGACGAGGATGTGGAAGAAATCTCATCGAAGCTATGGCAGGAAGCATGTTGGATCGTTATTAATGCTTATTTCGATGAGAAAGGTCTTGTACGACAACAGCTTGACAGCTTTGATGAATTTATTGAGATGTCGGTACAACGAATTGTGGAGGATTCTCCGCAAATTGACTTACAGGCTGAAGCACAGCATACATCTGGGGAAATCGAAAATCCTGTTCGTCACTTATTAAAGTTTGAACAAATATATTTATCTAAACCCACACATTGGGAAAAGGATGGAGCTCCATCCCCAATGATGCCAAATGAAGCGAGACTCAGAAACTTAACTTATTCTGCACCATTGTATGTTGATATTACCAAGACTATTGTTAAAGAACCAGATGACCCAATTGGTATGTTATGAATTCTATTGGAACCACTTGTTATTCTATACTTAACCCATTCGAAGTCAATATTTCTTTATACAAGGTAATCGACGACAGACGGTATGATAAGAAATTTGTACTAGCATTATACAAACAGATTTTTAAAGGGCAATATCTTACTGAAGTATGACAAGAAAGATTGTAAAAAATAAAATCTCTAATGGTTTTAAGTTTAAAGATAAGATCAGTGATTCACAATTATTGCTACTGAGAGTAGAGGAGAATGGAAATTAATATTTTTTTTATTGCCTGTATAATGTATAAAAATGAGGTTAGATACTACTATAAATATAAATGATACCATTTATTGACAAGAATGTTTCAGTTGACTTACAACTTTGAATATCATCTCTTTAGTTGTGTTGCTGATTTTCTTTTAAGGGGTTTTGATTCAGGCCAGATCGGTAACACCGATATCGATTGGTTGGCATAGATTTACAATGTACTTAAAATCATGAATAATTGGAACGTACAAATCAAGTTGTGAGACCAAAATTTGAAGATCTAGGGCGCATACTTCATTTTTAATCCTCCTAATACTTTTTTTTTTTTTTAGATTTCGCCCTTACTAAGCATACATTCATTTAACTCCTGATAGGTTGTACTTTTCATCTCTTTTGGAGTAATCGACAAGACCAAGACCTGTAAAAAGGAAACCCATCATAGCAAAAATTAAGTTTGGATATGATGTATTTTAAAAATTAAGTACATTGAAAAATGATGACAGTCGGTACATTTGATATGACGATTTGGGCTATTTTAGTTCATTGAAATTCCGCGTGCAACAGCGCCAATTGACACTCGTCAAAAGAACAATTCTCATTTCGAGACATGAACTGACATTTTATTTGACAGCCAGTGGCTCTCATTTACGGCATTTGATTACTGTCGATGGATCCCCTGCCCTGTTACCCCCTGGTCGATGTCCCTTCGAAACTTCTCGACCTTTGTTAGATCTCTGCTCGCAGTACTTTTTAAGAAAAAAATGGTCAAAAATGTGTAATTTTTTCGACGTTCACAGTGGTAAAGCCCCTTAAGCATTGGCGAGATGTTATTGGCAATGTGATAAACCTTTGGTAAAATTTGCTCCTTGTACGAATTATTTGTTCAGAAGCCAATAACGAAATTATTGTTATTCCTATAAAATAAAAATTGCTTATAAATGTACATCTTACCTCTCGATACATTATTAGTCTTATTTTATATTATTAAAAAAAAATGTTCTGGCTTCTTGAACTGGTTTTACGTTAAATCCCTGGCTTCAAATTGGTTAAATGAGTTAAAAAATTTATAAAAATGAGGAAAGACATTTTATGTTACAGAGACTCAACATCAAAAAACATTTATTGGAAAAATTCCAATTATGTTGCGCTCAAAATACTGCCTGCTAGCTGGTTTATCAGATCGTGATCTCACTGAATTAAATGAATGTCCTTTAGATCCTGGTGGATATTTCATTATAAATGGCTCTGAGAAGGTATGGTAGGATTGCATTAGAGCGAAACAATGTTCTCCGTGTATTCTCTGAGAACAAATAATAATCCGACCTAATATGCAAAATAATATTGAGGTTAGAACATTACTAATAAGACAATCTTACAACTCCAGGTCCTTATTGCTCAAGAGAAAATGGCTACTAATACAGTCTATGTCTTCAGTATGAAAGATGGAAAGTACGCTTATAAAGCAGAAATACGTTCTTGCCTAGAACACAGTTCTCGTCCAACTTCTACTTTATGGATCAATATGATGGCAAAAAGTGGTGCCGTAAGTAGAACAATTTAAGGGGGGAACCTACTTTACAAGACATGAGAAGGTGATTTTAAAGGATTTTCTCTACAGAAAATAATGTTTACCTTTTTAAAACATTCAGTATGTTTTAATACGACACTTGGACGCTACATATAATATCTTGATTTAAAAATAGTTTTATTTTCGCCTAGTAATTTAAGGGCCCAGTAGACGTGAGTCGGTCATTTTGAAATAATGGCGTTAGAGATGAGAAAATCGCATAAAATTCCCAGCCGATATTTTTCGATACGAATTTTGACTGTACATCAATGAACCGTTAGTACCTATTCCTTTACCCTCTCCCCAGTAGAGATAGCACCTAAATGGTCGCGAACATCCGTCATGCTTTGTGGTCTCGGCCTATGTAGAATCATTTCAGAAGGATATCATTGACAGATCTTAGCGATCGACATGAACTTGGCTGCTATCAGTCCATACTTATACAGTGTCCCAAACCTTCCGAACAAGAAATATATGATGATAATCTCTATTTCATTCTGAAAAAGAATATCTAATGCAAATCTAAATCCGAATTGTAGTTTTAAGGTGAAGTGAAACCCCCCTTCAAATCAGTCGACTCTAAGACACTTTTTTTAAGGGTATTGGATAGAACCATCTAAAACTTTGACACATGACTCGTGAGCACCTAGGAATTATCCTGAGACTTTCAAAATCTGGATTTTTGATAAAGATTTTTCAACTTAGCGCAGATCAGAACCAAAATGGCGTCGAGCTCACATATTTCGATCAATGTACAACTATCGAAGGCTCTAATACGTGAAACAAAAGTGTCAGGACAATTGTACGACAATTTGGAACACTCTGGTAATCGAGAAACTTGCATTTGAACGGGATAAAGGCAATAATAGTGTCTTATGCCCTGCTATGCTAAAGCGATGGTAATACGAGGTCTTGGAGAGGAAATGTAGTTGACACGGAAATCACAGATGGCGCAGGGTGTCCCTCTGCAGTCAATTAGAACCTCAGAAACCATGAATCTAGAGGATTTCTGGTTCTGGACTTCGATTTCTTTATAATTATTGTACGAAAGCGACAGGTGGAGTATGCCATTTGGTACAATACCCAATCTAATTCTACCCTGGTGCCAATATAAAAACGAACGTCGGCAACGTAGGTATTTAGAAAAATCTGTTTTACCGACGTCGATCAAGTTCCTCGACGTATTTCACTTCACCTTAAACGTATACTATTGTCCCAGAGCAAGATAGATTTCGATGAATCTGCATCCTTGTCGCACGAAGTCCAGTGAGCATTGATGCGAGAAAGATAAAGATGGACCTTTTTTTATTAAATGTTTGAAAAATTAATATTATTTTAAGGTAACTGATACGGAACTTATAACATTGATATAATCTGTTACATAACATGTTACCTTATTCAGTGGGAAATAATAACAAACATCTAACTTCCATGTTACTTTTATGCTAGATAACACGTTAGCTTCGAAAACGTAACATTTACCTAACAGTTATGTAACAGTGTTCAGTGGGTAACTCTCGTTGTATGGGCTAAATCTACCGAAGGACTTTAAATTTCCCGTAAAAATGTTAAGAACGTAGGGTATTACTATTGATTTAAGCAACAAAAAAATCGACTTTTTCGACCGTCTAAAGTAGGTTTCCCCCTTGAATATTCATGAAATAAAATGAATCAACGGAATAAACGCTTTAACAAATATATTTTGTTTAATATAGAGTATTAAAAAGTCAGCTATTGGGCAACGGATTATAGCGATTGTACCTTACATCAAACAAGAAATTCCTATAATGATCGTTTTTCGAGCTTTGGGATTCGTAGCTGACCGAGACATCTTAGAACATATCATATATGATTTTGATGATCCCGAAATGATGGAAATGGTGAAACCCTCTTTAGATGAAGCCTTTGTCATTCAAGAGCAGTCTGTAGCTTTAGCTTTTATTGGTGCTCGTGGTGCCAGGCCTGGAGTTACGAAAGAAAAACGCGTAAAATATGCAAGAGAAATTTTACAAAAAGAAATGTTGCCACATGTTGGCATTAGTGACTTTTGTGAAACTAAGAAGGCATACTTCCTTGGTTATATGGTACACAGATTACTGTCAGCATCTCTTGGTCGCAGAGAACTCGATGATCGCGATCACTACGGAAACAAACGACTAGATTTAGCTGGTCCTTTGTTAGCCTTTCTATTTCGCGGATTATTTAAAAATCTCATGAAAGAAGTAAGATTGTACGCTCAGAAATTTATTGACCGTGGGAAAGATTTTAACCTAGAACTTGCCATTAAAACGAAAATTATTACCGATGGACTACGATATTCTTTGGCTACTGGTAATTGGGGCGATCAAAAGAAAGCCCACCAGGCGAGAGCGGGAGTGTCCCAAGTGTTAAATAGATTAACATTTGCATCAACTTTGTCTCATTTAAGGCGTGTCAATTCTCCCATTGGTCGTGACGGTAAATTGGCAAAACCTCGTCAGTTACATAACACGTTGTGGGGAATGTTATGCCCCGCAGAGACTCCGGAAGGAGCTGCTGTCGGTCTTGTCAAAAATCTGGCACTCATGGCATATATCAGCGTAGGCTCTCAGCCATCTCCGATTCTAGAGTTTTTAGAAGAGTGGTCGATGGAAAATTTGGAGGAAATCGCTCCAAGTGCCATAGCCGATGCCACCAAAATATTTGTGAATGGCTGTTGGGTAGGAATCCACAGAGATCCGGATCAGCTGATGGCTACTCTCCGAAAATTGAGACGTCAAATGGATATTATAGTTTCGGAAGTCTCTATGATCAGAGATATTAGAGATCGAGAGATTAGAATATACACCGATGCAGGCAGAATTAGTCGACCGTTATTAATCGTTGAAGGACAAAACTTGCTATTAAAGAAAAGCGACATTACGATGTTGAAGAAAAAAGATTTCAACAATGATGGGTATGTTCATCTTATTTTTATTTTATCTTAAGGCCCTAGTAGCGGCGAGTTGACCATTTTGAATGGATGACATCAGAGCCGAGGAAATCGCGTGAAATTCCCAGCCGGTATTTTTAAAATGAATGGTATATCCTAGAAAGACTAGCATTGGAAGAAACTAGATATTCACGAAAAGTGTCAGTGAATCATTTTTTGACAGAGGATATACTAAGAAACGAGATATCGCTTCCTGAAAATCGACCTGCCAAGGCCGGTGACGTGCTTACGATTCTATGGCGATTACAAGATAGAAACAATGTCATTACAAACACGTACCGTCCGACACATTTTTTCACCGTTCCACAGATCGGCACCAATAACTTCATGAAAAATAATAGCCTGAAAAAATACCGGAAGGGAATTTTCCAAAGCTTCGGCTGTAATTTTTCACTCCTTAAGCGTAGGGTATTTACTCCCGGATGGCAAACTAGGCGTCATGGCATGGCTCTCAATCATTTATGCAAATATTATAAATGGATACGGAAAAGGAAACAAATCCATACTCTATTGAACAAATGTTCTTAATTGAGTTCTGTCTTGAAACAATTCAGACATTTAAAAAGTAATACATTTACTATTACAATATTAACTTTAGTTTATCAAAGTGGCTCACGTTGTATAAGTTCTGTGTTTTGTTTCTGAATCTTCCCTGGAGCTTGATTCGGCAGGGTTTAGGCCTCGCTTAAGCGTAGGTTAGCCAATTTTGGATACCAACTGGTGATAAGGACTTAAGGTATCGTGAGGGATTTCGAGATTTGGCGGTCTTTTATGTTTTTGAAATTGCTTTGGGAGACGTCTCATTTTTCTTTTTTCCGCGATTTGAATTGGAAAGTGCCGCGGTGACACGGTCCGAGTAAGATGTGGGTTAGGAGTTGATTTAACCTCTTAACTTACAATATCGTGTGAGAGACGTGGTATATCAAACGGGTCAAACGTATGAGAAACGTGGTATGTCAATCGGGCCAAATGTAAACAAAACGTATAAGAGACGCGTGAGACGTTGAACGTTCAGCCAAATCGTGAAATGGCCCGATGTATGATCAACATTTTTGTTGTTTATGGCACGCGTTATTGGAATTTAAATCGTAAGGCAAGGGGTTAAAGGTTGCGGAGGGAGAAGGTTATGCTAGAGCCCGCTGATCGAAGATGTATGATCTAGAGGTTAATTAACTTAATTCCACTTGTTCTGACTTCCCGGACCACTTTTTTTTCTGTTATGTGCGTATCGATCGAGACACTAGAATATTGAGTACTAATGCCTAATGCCTAAAGTCTAACGCCCAACGCCCAACGCCCAACGCCCAACGCCCAACGCCCAACGCCCAACGCCCAACGCCCAACGCCCAACGCCCAACGCCCAACGCCCAACGCCTAACGTCGAACGTCGAACGTCTCTCGACCCGGTCCCGCGGCCACTCCTCACTCCGCGGATTGTTGCTCCGCCTAACTACTTCCTCGCATGCTTTACCCGATCGCTAATTTCGCCTATGCCAGGCAGGCGGCGTCCAATCGGCCCGTTACACTCTAGTCTTACTAAATATTCAAACACATCGAGCGTGAACTTATGCCAAACGTGTGTTTAAATCCTGCGCCCATTGGACTGTAAGAAGCAAAGAAACGCATGTTGGCAAAAATGGGCAAAGCAACGTAATTAGTATTGCCATCTGCAGGAATCGTCAGAATCTGTTAAGCTTTCGACATTTCACGCAAGTGGCGTAAAGATTATTCACGACGTTCTGGCTTTGTTTACTAGGGCCTTAAAACTGCCTCAAATCTATGTAACTCTAAAAGTAGCACAATTATTTAGGTGACCTGTTGCAAATGCGTTACAGTATATAACTTGGGACCGCCAAATATTTATATTTTTGGAAAACGGATATTTCAATATTTAAATGAAAGCACTGTTTTAAAGTACTCATTGCAGCAACTTGTGCCTATAATGTAATCATATTTTTTTCTGACTAATTTAAAACGACATTTAAACGCGATTACATTAATAAGTATAAATGTTTCAGATGGCAAGAATTAGTAGGCAGAGGTGTAGTTGAATATATCGATACCCTAGAAGAAGAGACAGTGATGATTGCTATGTCTCCGGATGACTTAAGACAAGAAAAGGAATATGCATATTGTACAACTTACACGCATTGCGAAATTCATCCAGCTATGATTCTGGGGGTTTGCGCTTCCATCATTCCATTCCCAGATCACAACCAAAGTCCTAGAAATACCTATCAAGTAAATGTTGTTTAAATCTTACTATACTTCTTATCTTATAATTCGATATTTAAAAATTAAATTTCTTTTTACAGAGTGCTATGGGTAAACAGGCCATGGGAGTGTACATTACCAACTTCCACGTACGAATGGACACATTGGCACACGTTTTGTACTACCCTCACAAGCCTTTGGTTACGACGAGGTCAATGGAGTATTTAAGATTTCGAGAACTTCCAGCTGGTATCAACAGTATTGTCGCCATTTTATGTTATACTGGATACAATCAGGAAGACAGTGTCATCTTAAATGCGAGTGCTGTCGAAAGAGGTTTCTTTAGATCCGTGTTCTACCGATCGTATAAAGACTCCGAATCAAAAAAGCTTGGTGACCAGGAGGAACAATTTGAAAAACCTACTAGGCAGACCTGTCAAGGAATGCGTAATGCTATCTATGATAAATTAGACGACGATGGTATTATAGCACCTGGGATTCGAGTTTCCGGCGATGATGTAGTTATCGGAAAGACCATTACTTTACCGGAAACTGATGATGAGGTAATTTTCTTATTTTTATATCACATTTTAATACTCCAATACACGCAGTCGGAAGCTTAATTAATTCCCATGATTCCTATTGATTGCGATCCTAACGATGTCGTTTTGCCAATATGTTTTTTCTTGCTTCTTACCGTGTTATGGGGCACGCTATTTGTTGCGTACGTGCAGTCATGAGACATCAAATTGTGCCTATAATGTAATCAGATTTCTCAAATTCTCAGGATTTTAGCCCCAATGTCGAAACTAATTTTCCTTTGCGTTTCTTTATCGCTTTACTACGGTCGTAGCAATTTATTTAAACGTCGAACGGAGCGACGTATATTGCTTTACACTCGCGGTTGAACTCATTCTCAAAAAACCCTTGGATTTGCTAAATTTCCAGTTTCAAAGGGCCAAATCCTAATAAACCCATGAAAAGGTTGAGTCCAAGGTGCCCGAGTGTTCGACCACTTAGCGGTACTTGGAATTTTCCGTGCCCGGACAATTCTTGTCGATCTCGGACGACCCTATGTGAGAGTCATCTGGGGCACTCGACGACGCGGTAAAGGGCGGCACCTAAAAATTTGGCATGTCTAAGTGAGTTAACCAATCGGCATCGGAGGAATCCCTCCTTTACATTTTTATGGAGTTTTTCCGGGGAAACTTAATTATTTTCAGACTTTCCAACATTAGTCCGCCCACGCGATTCTGATCTGATAATGCCAATTTGTTAGCCTCCCACTCTGCAAGGGAGGCATGCCGGACGATACCTTCGAGAACATTGTGATTCTCAAAGAGAGCGTCACTTGTACACAAATTTCAACCGTTCAACTTGCTACGCAAATCTCGACAAGAGCAACTTCACTCAAGTTTCACGTTCAATAAGAAACAGCCGTACAATATTATGCTGACATAAGGTCGTCGAGTTATTGTAGTGTTCGCGAATTTAATTGGAATTCGCGAGGTCCCAGATTTACATCCTGAGAACAGCAACAATCGCTCACTTTGACGACGCGGCGGAACAGGATTCAAACATATATCCGTAGAGTATTCTCAGAAGACTGACTCCCTACGTCCCGTGTTCCACGTTATTAGGGATCAGGAACGTATCGATTTCGGAGTCCTTACTCTACAGATCAGTCGTCCTGACAATAGACTGTCCCGATCCTGTTGATCATTTCTTAGCTCGATACAAGATGGCATCTGTGTAGGTTATTTGTCGTCCTCACATTCCGGGACAACGTTTCTTGAGTCCACATTTTTATTTGATCGAGGCCTACAATACCTCGAAACGGTCTTTAAGTGAGCTGGAACTCTTCAATATCCGCGATCTCATATCGGTCACGACTTAAAATCGATTTGATCTCATAAGGCTCGTTATATTTAGGGATCAGTTTCTTATTAATACCAGGTGTTGTGTCGTTATTCCGCACCATTATTAAATCGCATATAGCATACCTACGCGCCACTTTTCGTGTCCGATTATAGTATCTCTTGTTGCTTGTTTGAGTTTTGCAAATATTCACAGCTGCTAAGTCGCGTAGCTTTCCGAGATCCCAATCATTTCCCGAACTTTGATCTAGCGCTTAACTTCGATGGACCGTTAATTTGACCATTTTGATAAATACCAAAAAGAAGACGACTAGGAGCATCACCAGTCGAACGACATATTGTGTTGTTTAATGTGAATTCCACCAGCCCTAGTGTTTTATCCCATTTTGTCGGGTCAGTTGGATCTTAGTAACCATTGGAATGATTACTCTATTAAAACGTTCCACTTGGCCATTTTCTCGTGACGTCCCCGTTGCAATTAATACATGATCAAAACCTTGTTTGCTCGCGAATATCTTAAACTCTTAAAATGTAAAGGCAGTCCCGCGATACGTAATAACGCGTCTCGGAGGCCCGTGCGCTCGAAAATAATCACTCAAATTTATTATAATTCCTCGCGAAGTGACCGCTTTACACGCTTACAACCGAATATGTTACGTAAATGCGTCAACCACGGATAGAATATTAAGAAACTCGGTAGAGTTTCGCGCCAAATATATATACAGAGGCGCGAAACTTAGACCTAGTCATTATCTGCGATGTTCAGCCTGGCGTGTCAAATTGGACAATGAATGTTGATTTTTGAACCTCTTGAATGAGTAATGTCAACTTTAACGAGGCCATCGAGAGTGGACGATTTTTCTGCATTTTTTAAGCTATGAACGAAACCGATTGGTTGTAATAGTACGGATTAGGCCATACAAAATGTCTTTTCCACACCGTCGTGAGTTCGAGCCGCGTAAGAATTTTCCGGGAATATTAAATCGCCGGTTTCCGAGGCGCGAAGACCCGAGTAAGAGAGAGGCAGGCGTGCGAATTAGAGCAGGATCGCGATATCTCGTGCCCGCGTAGACAATGTTTCGAGTTCTTATGCGTCTAGGCTTCGGTCGCTCAGCTGATCGAGGCCGAAATTCCGAATCGAGTTCGCGTTTCGATATCTCGAACACTCCGAGATTCCTAACTAATTTTGATTATCGGTTATTTAATCATTTTCACTTTGTTGAAATGGATTTAATTTGGATAGGAATTGAACACTCGGATTGACGATTTATCTCATGAGAGTACGCCAAATGTTCATCATCGAATCCGGATAAAAAGGATTCAAGGTGTGGGGGCAAATGGGTTGGTTTCCTTCGTATTTCGGAATCCAGTTAATCCAGTAATTTCTTATTTTATACCATTCTCAAATTGACTTGAATTATTTTATTGGATTCCTGGAGCACTGCTCTACAGGTGTTAATCTCACCTTAATTTAGGTTATCCACTGCCTTAGGGTTTCTCAGGTTTGGTAGGATGTTTTGTGGTAGGTTCTTGTGCACTTCTTCGCGCCACGATTCTTTTGTCCAACTGTGGAAGTGAAGAACAGGTCGGAGGCAACCACAATGATAAAGGGCCGAAAGCCATCACACGAAAACAAACAAACAATGATAGAGTCCGAGCTGTCTTTCACAATTGAAGATCGCGTTAGCTCCTGCTTCAGGGTTATCGCATTTACAAGGCCGAAGGTACGGATCTACACGTCCTTTGTATTCTTTTTGTCTGAACCTGCTTCGATTGACTACTGTCATTCGAAGGATGGTTTTTTTTCTATTTGTTTTCTTTTTACTTTCACGTTCTAATATTCGTGTTCTTGGGAGATGCTGCAGTAACACAGTCCCAGGATTGTGTTCAAAAGGAATGAGAATTAGGGATACGATGACTACCACAGTGGCAGAGACCACTGGTTTTTGGGATTTAATCTAGGATTTTTCTATCAGTAAACTTTATTTCATAAATGATTTACGGATTCCGGCTTACTCCGGTTTTCTTTCTACCTAATCGCGCTTCTAAACCTTAGTCTGGTTCTGGACTCGAATTTACTCTAGTGTTATTTAATTTTTGGGGTGTTTGTTCCCATTGAAAATCGAATCTAATCTGCCTTTTTGATTTTGATTTGGGGTCTTGCAGGTTCGCCCGGCCTCTCCCTACTCCTCTGTCTCTTCCTACTTCTCGGCCTATTTGCACCGCCTAATTACTCTGTCATTGCGCACGCGAGAGAGACCCGACGACAAGAGCGTGCTATATATTCGTTGAGAAGATTCAAATTGTTAGAAGTTAACACGACCTTTGCAGTCATATTAATACTAGAACTACCGGCGGATTCTTTTTTGTTGTGGTGGGCTATTTAAATCCAATCATTTTGGCTGGGCTTGGTAGTTCTAGTGTTAATAATATTTAATAGCGAATGCGATAAGGATGGAAAAATGTGGATCGCGAGGGCAGTACTTCGGGATATTTTTGATCCGTCCACTCTTTTAGAAAATCGTTTCTGCCATAGTAATGTTAATAATCATGTTTGTTATTCACATAACAACTATTTTATATTTTAGTATATCACAGTATATTAACAGCATTATTTTATGCCGTTCATTTTTATTTTATTATGTCGCGTATGAAACTTCCAACTTCACTCAATTCTTCCTTTATGGTATGAGGTATTACAAATTTAAACCGTTTTCAAGTATAGTAGTCAATCACTTATACGGTGTACTCATGCTCAAAACCTTTCCCACATACTTTCAGTCTAGAGATTTCGCATTTTTATTCGAGCGATACGTAATGGGGTGCATAAACTCGCGTGAGATGAACATTCTCGTCAAAGATACGTAATAGACGCCCTGTGTATACAAGAATCCTTTTTTGAATTGCCTCGAGAACGGCTAAATATCACGAGAGAATTACTAGTAGCAATAGTACTACCCCAGGGTCGTCAAAGTTAATAATAATTTATTTCTTCAGTTGGACAGTACTACAAAGAGGTTTACGAAGCGGGATGCCTCTACATTTCTACGTAACAGTGAAACTGGAATTGTTGATCAAGTAATGTTAACATTGAACAGTGACGGATACAAATTTTGTAAAATCCGAGTGCGGAGTGTTCGCATTCCACAAATTGGAGATAAATTTGCTTCTCGACATGGACAAAAGGGAACATGTGGTATTCAGTATAGACAAGAGGACATGCCATTCTCGTGCGAGGGTCTTACTCCTGACATAATTATCAATCCACATGCTATTCCATCTCGAATGACAATTGGCCATTTAATCGAATGTATTCAGGGGAAGGTTTCCGCCAATAAAGGTATACAATCCTTTCAATGATTCCACTTGTGTTTCAAATTAAAAAGTCGGGTAAGAAACATCTTTTTTTTCTCTTTTAGGTGAAATTGGTGATGCTACCCCATTTAACGATGCAGTAAATGTGCAAAAGATCTCGACACTTTTACAGGAGTATGGATATCAATTAAGAGGTAACGAAGTCATGTATAATGGTCACACTGGTCGAAAAATCAATGCTCAAGTATTTTTGGGACCAACATATTATCAACGCCTTAAGCACATGGTCGACGACAAAATTCACAGCAGGGCACGAGGCCCTGTTCAGATTTTAGTAAGACAACCAATGGAAGGCAGAGCTAGGTGAGTGCAAGAGACTAGACATAAATTGAAGAAACTTATCAACGTGACATTCAACTTTTTCAATTATATATTATAGGGACGGTGGTTTGCGTTTCGGAGAAATGGAACGTGACTGTCAAATCTCTCATGGAGCGGCCCAATTTTTGCGAGAAAGGTTATTCGAAGTTTCGGATCCATATCGAATTCATATTTGTAATTTTTGCGGTTTAATAGCTATCGCTAATTTACGTAATAATACTTTTGAATGCAAAGGATGTAAGAATAAGACTCAAATATCTCAAATCAAATTACCATATGCTGCAAAACTGTTATTCCAAGAATTAATGGCTATGAATATCGCCCCACGCCTTATGGTATCTTAAGCTAATATTTCGGATTATTTATATTATGTAAGCGGTATAATTGAGTATATATATGTTCATTTATAATTTCGTACAATAATAAGATAGAATTGACTTTTGTGATTTTTGACATAATGTTCTGTTGCAAAAATCCAAATATTTAATTGTTGTAAGTATAGTCGTTTCTAATGGAAAACCTGCAGCATAAGTATGCATCTGTAATAAAACGCAAGAGATTTTTCTTGTAGCATTACTTAATTTATGCGAACAAATAGTAGATGCTATCAAGGTTGTAATAAAATTTGTACCCACGGTATAAACCGTGTAGCGATGTATAAACATCGCTATTCTTGATAGGAATGGAATTGAAAAGTCACGTACAGTTTTTTTTTCTATGGTACTGTTACGTGGAAACTATGAATGGACTTGACGCCATATTTCCAGTTTTTCCACCCACGACTTCTAGTGCATTTCCGCATGACAACTAGTCAGACGGTTCAGTTCCTCTTGGCCTTCGAACATCGAAGTTTCCTAAGTGTGCAATTTCAGCACCTCACCAAGCGAATACTTGCAACCTTCACCACGTGAGCAGTTAAATGATTATTGCAAAACCAAAATCTAGACTTATTATCTCCGGAGATGGTCGTTGGCCGGACATGGGCTATCAAGAAACTCGGTAGAGTTTCGAGCGAAATACATTTTTGAGTGCGAAACTCACAGCGTTGTGTGCTGAGAGAAACGCGCTCTGCGCGCTTGAGCTCGAGCGAGACGTTACAGAGTTCTATACGCCAAGGATCGCGATTTCAAGAGTGGGGCAAATGGGAATCTACTCTCTCCATTACTATGGAACAAGAAATGAACGTCTGATCAGCTAGAATAATCAAGTAGAAAATCAGGAATTTTTTATAATTTACCCGGCTCCGATCTCTAGTACCTACGTGAAGATATAGCATCTTAGTTTTTCAGCACTCTCATAATCTTCGTTCTGTTATCATCATCGTCGTCGCCCTAGGCACAGACATGACAGATAGACTGCCATAGAGTTTTTGGGCGGGTTTCTATATTCGCCCGGCCGCCGGCTCGGGTTTGGGGGCCTAGACGTGTCGTACTCTCTTACTCCTACGGGTCGCATAAGGCCCGGCTTTCCACTACCACTCTCAAAACTCCGCTCTCGGGCTTTCCACCCCCCTGTTGTGAGGGTCTCGATAATCGGATTAGCATCAATGTTTTCACGTCGGTAAGGGAGACTCTCGCTCTACCCGGGGCTACTGTCTCGTCCCTTTCGCAGCGGCGTTCTCCCTTGCTCTCTCGCGGATCTTATGCCACCCGACGACGTTCTCGCTTGCAGTCGTTCACCCTCGGGCCTTATCGCCCCTCCCTTCCGCGGTTCGCAAGGTGGATTGTCATTTTGCAACGTCCGCGATCAAGTAATAAACAGAGAGAAAGGAGGATCGATATCTCCACGAGAACTGCCGTCTCAAATAAACTGTGCCATCTACTGGTAACGTTAACCCTTCGTTGTCCATGTCTTTTTCGGACACGTAATTTTATGAGACATGAAATCATGATTCCGTTTCTATATCCGGAAGTGGATGCATTGTAAATTTTCCTACGGCATTTCACTGTATAAAAATTGATAAAGTATTTTTTTTAAGCTAACATAATATTCTAACTTCGTTTCAGTGGATGGAACAATTGAATCGCTAAGAAACTTGTTAACTTCCAATAAAACATGCTTTAATATATTCATTAAGAAATTCTGTAAATAATAATTTAACAAAAACTACGTTAAGTGGGTCAGGGACACTTTACAATAATAATAAAATAATTTTCATTTCTTTTTTTTGTTTATGAACATTCATTTTCTTTAGGAAATTCATTCAGCTCCTTGGGCGATTCAAATTCCGCGCTGCTCCCGCTGCCAGTACGCCGCGCAGCAGGAAAGGGCAATAGGTCCGCGAGGTAACCATCAATGTACGCCAGTGTAGTAAATGACTTTCGAATATCAAATCCATGTTGTCACGCTCTTCTGCCAAGAGACCAGGTGACACGGCGGGCAAATTCAAACGCGCTTTTGTGCTCCTCGATATGCAATGTCTCCTTTACAGGGCTCTTGTGCGAATCCGTGCGAGCAATCGATGGTGGGAATAGTTGCAGTGGAATTAATGAAACGACCTTACTCGTAATTAATGAAGCCTCACTTGAAATTAACGAAACGGTCTCACAAATAGATAAATGGACTGTTTAACGAATGAATTACCTTTTCAATTTAATAATGAATTAAATGGCCATGCGTATGCGCATTTTTTCATATCCATGAAGAACCATTTGTTGCATATAGATAGGGATGTGAATGATTTCAACTTAAGGGCCATCGGGGACTATTTACGCCTTTATTTAAAGCGGAATGATAAATCTCGTCCCACCATGTTTTATAGTAATTTAGCCCTTTTGAATTGCTAAAAAATAATCATGCATTAGATGTATGATATGTAAGACATAGAATATCTCTTTTAATTCACGAGGACCTAACTTTATCGTCGATGTCCTCGGTTAAATGTTTAATCGCGAAAAGGAGAGCCGGAAACCAATCCGAAATCCGGCCCGGACGGTCGCCAGCGATTCCAGGGTTCAGGGGGCGAGGTGAAGAGACGCAGTCTCTCTGTCCTTCATTTTCAGTTTTCGATAGCGTGCGTCCGATAGAGATGGTCGTTTTGATTCGCCATCCCTTTCCCCGGATTAAGACATACATATGAATCGCCGATACCCCCAAGTGTCAGGAATGGCTTCCTATCGGGGGGGGGGGGGGGGGGGGGGGGGGGAGAGGGGATCTTGCCCCTCCACCCCGACCCCCTCGTCGACGGTCGGATCACGCCGCGATCTCCGCTCTCTCGTCTGCGCTCGCTCTCGACTCCATATTGCCACGCTTATTGTCAAGAGACCAGATGAGACGGCGGGCTAATTCAAACGCGCTCTCACGCTTCTCGATATGCAATGCCTTTTCTTCCACAGGGATCACGTGCGAATCTATGCGAGTAATCGATGATGGGATTAGTTGTAGCGGAAATAACGAAATGACTATTTTCATAAAGTAATAAATGCACGGTTTGGCGAATCGATTATCATCTCTATTAAATAACTAATTAAATGGCTATCCAGGTTTTTTTTTAAGTATTTCTATATCCATGAAGCGTCTTGATACGAAATCTCATTGTACGTATTTCAGAACAATTCAGCCGCTTTAAGAGTGTTAAGAAATAATAACGCGGTATACATTTGATATTTGGGACGTAGAATTACTCTGAAAATTCACAAGGACCCGATTTTACAACCGAGGTCCTCGGTTACATGCATAATCGCAAAAAGGAGAGCCGGAAACCCATCCGAAGCTGCCCCGGCCCACTCGCGTCCACGTGGCTCATGGCTCGCCGATCTGTTGTCCGCGCTCATTCTTCAGCCTAGATCGTCACTCTTTGAGCCTTCCTGCCACGTGCTTGAAGCAATCAGAACGAAGAGTGATGGTTCTCAATTGTCATCCTTCACTCTCCGTTATAATACGTGTTATAAGAATGAATAATTTCTTGCTAAGTTCGAATGTTAGTCCGTTCGGCCGGAGTAATAAATAATCTGGCAGAATTATCAAAGAGTAATTGTGTGTGTATATTTATACGCAGGGGAAATCTTCTTTCGGATACATGAGATAACGAAACGCTTTACATTTATTTATTTATTTCCGTTTACCCAATTGCGCGAAGACAAAATACATGTGTATTGAATGTATGCGCATTATATCCCATGTCCGCAAGTTGTGATAATGGAAATTTTGCTATTTCAACTAATAGGTATTAAGTATTAATTAACGGAATTTGTTATATTCCAAGTACTGTTTAAACTTTAATGCAGAGGGTCTGCCAGCTGATTCACTGATAAATCGATAAACTTTTATCAGTTCGTACTTCAACGTATAATTTTTACGTTCCGGTTGGCGGTTACGGAAAAGAATGTATAAAATACATCAAATGCGTTGCAGAATGAACTTTTATTACGTTTCCTATCATTTATTTTATTTACAAAAATCCAATTTCTTATAAACTTCACTACAGCCTTCTCTCCGATTTAAACTTGACGCTGCTGCGGTACGTGGTACCCGACCCCACCACCTGGCGGCGCCATATACAGGAGGAAAGCATTTTTGACCGTCAGTGTATATCAGAGATGAGTTGGGAGATTGCTCACGGGCAGGGTCGCGCGATCGCACCGTGTGCTGCCCTCTGATTTCGTACGTTAGCTTTCAGCGTTTTTTGCCCCCAAGGGCGGCGCAACGAATTTCTGGTAGGGGCTCGCGCAATCGCGATAATTGTGCCATCTACCAGTTGCCGTTGGCGGCTCACGTATTCGTGATGGTAATACCATGCGGCAGTTGAC